CCCAGGTGGGTCTCGAACCCGTGGGCTCAGGCAATACACTCACCTCAGCCTCCCAAGGCGTGGGATTACAGGCTGAGCCACCGAGCCCGGCAACAATTATTATAATACTACAAAAAAGGAATTGGCAGTAATGGGAAACTGCCGGGGGGGACACACTTCATCAATAAGGGTATCTAATCTCAAACCAGGTGAAGTGGGGACCACAGTGAGGCCCAAACTTTACCTGTACAATGGCCATTTGTATACCTAACCCTGAATTGTACCCCACATCTTTAAAATAAAATTAAAAATGCATTGTGGGTATGTTTTATTTTAAAAATTTTATTATTATTATTATTATTATTTGATAAAGGTCTCACTCTATTGCCCAGGATAGAGTGCAGTGGGATGCTCATGGACACCACAGGCTCAACCTACTGGGCTCAGGTGATCCTTCTGCCTCAGCTTTCCAAGTAGCTGGAATCACAGGCATGTGTCACCATGCCTGGCTCATTTAAAAAAATTTATTGTAGAGATAAGATCTCACCAAGTTCCTTAGGCTGATCTCGAACCTTTGGGCTCAGGCAATCCTCTCGCCTTGGCCTCAAGTGCTAGGATTACAAGCATGAGCCACTCACTGCACCTGGTCTAGGATTTATTTTATTTGTATTCATTTTCTTATGTCAGGGAGATTCCTGAAAAACACTTTAGGTCACACTGAGATAAAACTTTGGATAGGACTACACCAGTTAAATTAGGCTGTCTCATTCTAAAGAAGAAATTGGACAGGCTTTCTTGAAAGATGATTTAAATAAACATATAAACTTGTTCATAGACAAAGTACTAATCTCAGTCTTATAGTTATCTGTTTTTTAATTTTTATTTTTGAGACAAAATCTTGCCCTGTTGTTCAGGCTGAAGTATGGTGGTGAGATCATCGCTCACTGAAGCCTCAAATTTCCAGGCTCAAGCAATCCTCCTGCCTCGATCTCCTGAGTAGCTGGGATTACAGACACAGGCCACCATGCCCAGCTAATTTTTTTTTTTTTTAATTTGTCAAGATGGGGTCTGGCTATGTCGTCCAGGCTGGTCTCAAACTCCTGACCTCCGGTGATCCGCCCACCTCAGCTTCCCAAATTGTTGGGATTATAGGTGTGAGCCACCATATCTGGCCTGAACTTTTCTTTCTTATCCTTTATAGCAATCACAACTCTCTAGCTACCTCTGTGTTTTATTGTTTAATATTTGTCTGTAAGATCTTGTGCTCCAAAAGACAGGAGCTTTGAGTACTCTGTATCTCTAGCACCTGGGACAATGCTTGGCACACCTGTGTGTACGTGTGTGCAAGAAATCATGCTTAAAGGGGTTCTCATTTGTCTTGGCTAGCGGAATCCATCATGCAAATGTGCATCCCAGCCCCATTTCCTTGATGACAAGTACGGGGATAGATAAATTTCAGAACAGGCAGGGAGGCAGGTTTCCACAGTTCTCAATGGACACCCTCTTCAGACACTTGGCCCTCACCAATGGCTTCAGCAAATCCCCGCTCTCCCCCAGGATGCTCCCAGGTACCTTTGCAAGTCTTCTCATGGATGCAATCCTGACACATCTCTGGGCAATGCTTGCACACCCCCTCCACGGCCACATGCCTCTCGGGACAGGCTTCCTGGCACGCCCCGTGGTGCAGGACGAGGCCTGCTTCACAAGAATGGCAGCTGGTGGCATTGCCTTTGCACGTGCTGCAAGGGGGGTTACAGCGTTCACATATGCCAGCGTCTGCGTAAAAGCCCCTGTGGTGGGAAGAGAAAACGTATCTGGAGAAGCTAGCCAGCTATAGAAATGACACTGGGGGCAACGGAGTGGGGACTAAAAGCAAATGGGCTGCTGCTATTGTCAGCCAAAAGGAGGCCCCAGGATTTCCGGAGGAAGCCTGTGAAAAGGAACATTTAGAAAAACAGAGTAGCCAGATGCGGTGGCTCACGCCCATAATCCCAGCACTTTGGGAGGCCAAGGCAAGAGGATTGCCTGAGCCCAGGGGTTCGAGACCAGTATGAGCGACGTGTCGAGACCGCGTCTCTACAATACATCAAAAAATTAGCTGGACGTGGTGGCGCATGCCTGTAGTTCCTGGTACTTGAAAGGCTGAGACAGAAGGATCACGTGAGCCCAGCAGGTTGAGGCTGCGGTGGCCGTGAGCATGCCACTGCATTCCAGTCTGGTACAGAGTGAGACTCAGACTCAAAAAGAATGAAAAAAGAAAAACAGAATAGCTGAAAGTGGTGGCTAACACCTCAAATCCCAGCACTTTGCAAGGCGGAGGTGAGAGTATCGCCTGAACCCAGGGCGGTTGAGACTGTGGTGAATGGTGATTGAGCCACTGTACGCCACCTCAAAAACAACAACAACAACAAAAAACTGGGTGCTTTGTGCTATCAGCCCAACCTTTGGGGAATTTTCCATGCTAGTCCTGGCCAAGGCCTCCAAACAGTGTCTGGACAGTAAAAAGGATCCATTCTAGTACAGAGACTAAAACGAAGCACAGGAAGAAAGACTTTTCTAGATTCTTCTCCTAAGAGAGCCAGTGGAGATTGGCTGAAATGCAGAAGTGGACCTTGAACAAGTATCATAATACTGTAAGAAAAGGATTGTCAGTAGTGGAAATTGCTGGGGGCCGGGGGGGGCGGGATTGGCAGTAGTGGGATTCTGCTGGGGGAGGGGGCACACCTCATCAACAAGGGTACCTGCATAATGAACATTTGTATACTTAACCCTGAATTGTACCCCACATCTTTAAAATTAAAAAAAAAATACTGAAATGAAGACTACTGCAACTAACTCCTAAATGAGTGACTCTCAGACACTCGGCTGGACAATAGCCAGAAGGCAGCATAAGGTGATTTTCTTATTCTTTCTTTTTTTTTTTTTTTTGAGCCGGAGTCTCACTGTCACCCAGGCTAGAGCGCAGTGGCACACTTATGGCCACTGCGGCCTTGACCTGCTGGGCTCAGGTCATCCTTCTGCCTCAACCTTCAAAAAGTTGGAATCACAGGCGCGCACCACCGCACTCGGCTAATTTTTTGATTTATTGTAGAGACAAAGTCTCATCTAGTTGCCCTGCCTGGTCTCAAACCCCTGGCCTCAGACAGTCCTCTTGCCTTGACCTCCCAAAGTGCTGGGATTATAGGCGTGAACCACCATGCCCGGCCCACTTAAATTTTTTTTTAAAGTAGGATTTATTGAGGGGACAGAAAAGCTCCCACAGTGGGAGGCAACCCAAAGGGGTTACCCCACTTCAATTTTTTAAATAGCTGTAGTAACTCTGATGCCAACAGTCTTTTTCCTTCTTTCTTTCTTTTTTTTTTTTTTTTTTTTAGTTGGAGTCTCACTCTGTCGCCCAGGCTGGAGTGCAGTGGCACGCTCACAATAGCCACAGCCTCACCCTGCTGGGCTCAAGCGGTCCTTCCACCTCAGCCTTCCAAGTAGCTGGAACCACAGGCGTGTGCCAGCATGCCCAGATAATTTTTTGATTTAGAGACGAGATCTCACCAAGTTGCCCAGGCTGGTCTTGAACCCCTTGGCTCAGGCAATCCTCTCGCCTCGGCCTCCCAAAGTGCTGGGACTACAGGTGTGAGCTACTGCATCCAGCACAAGGTGATTTTCAAGAAGCCACTTTGCTCAAAGTTGCCCACTCCACAGAAATCCGCCCGGTAGTTTGTCCAGTTGTCCCTCCCTGCATTCACAAAACTTTTTTTCCTTCTACACACTGTCATATAACAAAGCACAAAACTTTTTTGCTAATGCTTTATTTCAGTTATTATTATTATTATTATTTTGAGTTGTAGTCTTACTCTGTCGCCAGGCCGGAGTGCAGTGGCACCTCATGGCCACCGCAGCCTTGACCTGCTGGGCTCCGGTGATCCTTCTGCCTCAGCCTTCCAAGTAGCAGGAACTACAGGCATGCACCACCACACCTGGCTAGGCTTTTTTTTTTTTTTAATTGCAGAGATGAAGTCTCACCAAGTTGCCCAGGCTGGTCTTGAACCCATGGGCTCAAGCAATCCTCTCACCTTGGCCTCCCAAAGTACTGGGATTACAGACGTGAGCCACTGCACCCGGCCCACAGTTATTTTTATATAAGAAGACAAGGATTTCTTCTGATAAGAAATGGCACATGTATTAAACCGCTGAATTCAAAGTCGCTGCGTTGAGGTCTCTTAGCCCAGGTAAATAAGTCACGAAAAAACGGTATAGTTTGGAGTGTCACATAGCTTGCACAAACACTCAAGACTGTGACGAGTAGCACTCAAAGGAAGAATGTTTTTCTTCACCAGAGCTTCAAATCTGTTTGTATTTGGTGAATCTGAGTCCACTTAAGTTTCCTGTTGTCTTTTATTTTTATTTTTTTTTTGAGTCGGAGTCTCATTCTTGCCGCGAAATGGAGTGCAGTGGCACGCTCATGGTTACCATAGCTTTGACTTGCTGAGCTCAGATGATCCTTCTGGCTCAGTCTCATGAGTAGCTAGGATTACAGGCACCCGCCACCACACCTGGCTAATTTTTTTTTTTTTTTAATTGTAGAGACAAGTTCTCACCACGTTGCCCAGGCTGGTCTCAAACTCCTGGACTCAAGCAATCCTCCCACCTCCACCTCCCAAAGTTCTGTGATTACAGGCATGAGCCACCATACCCGGTCTTTGGTTGCCTTTAAAAAACCAGTGTAATATTATACTACTGCTAAACCTTTTTTTTTTAACGGGGCCAGAATTTGAACTCAGGGCTCTGTGCTTGCTGCAGCTTTTTTTTTTTTTTTTTT